CTCCTTTCTGAATCTTGTGAGGGCCGCAGTTAGTTTGCTTGTAAGGCCGGGCCCTTGTAACAAGTGATCATCGCGCGATTCGCCCTGGTAACCAGCTGAACAATCAAATACCACGCAGATGCTGCTTGGTTTTCTGGGGTGATAAACTCCCATGACGAGGTAAGGTAAATACCAGACTTTTCCTTCTTGAGGAGCTAGTTCTTCAACATTCACCTTTCGGGTATATCCCTCATCGATAATTTTAGACTTGAAGCTAGTGCAGTCAGCATGATACTTTGGGTCAACTTGGAGTCTTTTCTTTAGGCCGTGCAGGCATTGCACTGCTTGAAGACGGTCATTTGGTAGTTGGATATTCTCTTCCCTAAACGAGAGGGGCATTTCATGATGCATGTCACCTCTATAGCAGACTCCGTCTTCTACTTTCTTCAGGAACTGACGAAATTCTCCAGGTAGTGTGATTCCATTTTCCCTCTTTAGGTAATACGGTTCCATTTTCCCTTTCAGCAAAGTCCAACTCAAACATCTGTAAGTCTATTTGAGGTGTTAGCTGTTCCTCGATCTTTCTCTCAGCAACAATGTATCTGTTCACTTCATCATCTGTGCTCCTCTTGAGACTCTGAATTCGGTTGCAATGTACTTGTTTACTGCTCCTGTGGCTTGCAGGACTGTTGACATGCCATCTCAATGCTGATCATACCGTGTAAGACTTCTTGTTTCCAAAAAATAATCTCTCGGTCTCACAGTGCTGGGACAGTTCAGAACAATGAGAAGTCCTATTTCTACATGTCCTCCACTAGCATTATCAAGGAGAGCGTACACACATATCTTGTTATTTGTATTGTCCTTGTGGTAGAACCATACTGGGACTATACCCATAGTGATTGGAGCATCACCAGCCTCAGTCACAATGCAAATGGCGGTGCACACATTGACTTGCTCTTCCCTTTTCCCTTCGTTGGTTTTTGATTGCTCATGTTAGCTGCTCCTTCCTTCCATCTTGACCTCTTTTGGTCTCTAGTTGTGAACGTGGAGTGACGTTGGGTGTTTCTTATTGCATATCTGGCATGATCTTCTACACTTGCAGAACCTGGCGATGTGTTCAGAACTATAGCAACCAAAGCATAAACCTTCATCTCTAACAAAGTCTCTACGCTCTACCACTCTTTGCTCTTTCTAGAGGTGGCTTTTGGAGTACAAGGCTCAACTGATGGGATAAGAATTTTTTTCGATGCCATTGTTTTCTGAGAGGCCTGTTGCAAAGTTTGTACACTTTCCTCTCCTAGTCTTGCCTTAGCCCGACTTGCGGTACTCGTTAACTGTATCTTTTGGTCTCCTGATGCCTTCCTCTGAGTAGACTTGGAGTAGTCTTGCAACCTTCAATGTATTTCCGCAAAAGTCGGCTATGATGGGTATGACTTCACATCTCCAGAGAACATAGGCGGCTTATGGCTAGGTGAGAGACTTCTGGCTTGTTATGTAACAATCATTTTTGACGGTTCTAAATGTCACTATAGTCTTGATCTGGTAGTGTACTTTCTACAGGGCTTCAATCCTTTCCGTAAACGTACATACATCCTTGCTTATCGTCATGATATAGCTTGGTATCAGGGGAAGTCTCATTGTCTTCTTCAATTTCTTCTTCTTTTCAACCGTTTTAGCTAGTTTGACCGCATAAACCAGTTGAAGAAATTTAGGTAATTTGTGAATTTGATGCAGTTTAACCGCTTTTGAACAAATTTGAACATATTAGCTAGTTTGATGATTCTAACAAGGTAAACTAGTTCAGCCAGTTCGTGCATTTTTTTCATTTCAGTTGAAACAAGAAAATAGTTTGTCCATTTTGTGCAGTTTTACCTTTGTCGCAAAGGTTTGACTATTTCAAATACTGAAACTAATTCAGCCTGATTGTGCACTTTGTGAAGCTCAACCAGCTTTGTTAGTTTGACCATTTCAATCTATGAAACAAATTCACCTATTGGTGTACTTTGTGTAGTAAACTCGTTTTAGCTGTTCAACTAATTCGGCTTGTTTCTGCCTTTTGTTTAGTTCAACCGCTTTAACTGACTGATCCAATTCAGGTAGTCTAGGCTGGTTTGATTTTAATCAAGTTGGAACATTCTACACAGTTGAACCAATTCAATTAGTTTATCCATTTTGTGCAGTTTATCCGTTTTAGCTAAATTGACCTTTACAACCAGGTCTGAACTACTTTAAAAGGTCTATGCATCTTCTCCAGTTTAACTAATTTAGCTACTTTAACTATTCAAACCGTTTGAACCAATCCAGCCTGTTTGTGCATTTTGTTCCCTTTAATCCAATTACTCTTTCATTTCGTGCGGTTTTACCGTTTAACCTAGTTTGAAGATTTTGGGTGGGTCGTCATCCACGGGGCTGAACTTTGTAGTGTTGTCAAGCGGTAGTGTTGGTGGCGAAGTCATCGCTTTTTTTTTTAAAGAATTTAGAACTTTAACGAGAGCTTAAGGTGAATTAGAGCTTTGCACTGAATGCTTTTAAAGCGCGAGCGTAAAGTTGCACTAACCATTTCCTTTTCATTTGAATCTTTTAATAATGGCTCTTTCTTTCAGTACGCCTTCTCAACGCCTGTTGGATTTCTACAGGTGAGACCTTTTGGGGTAAAGAGAACTTTCATCCCTTGCAGATAAGGAGCTTTTCGGAGAGGGAAAGGCGGTATGAAGACAATTTGTTGATGTTTTTGTCGACATTAGGCGTGAGAGTGTTACCATGGCTTTCATGATTTTGTTGAAACACTTTCCGACGAAGAATGTTCAGCATTCGCAGAAAGGGGACAGAGCAAAGAAGGAAGTATTCTTCAATGAGGTCTTTGGATGCGTTATGATATTCTTCTCCGAGATGATTTTGGCCCTTAATTCTTCCTCCACGATCTTCCTTTGATAATTTTGTGGGTCGAGTTTGTAGGATTGTAGTGTGCTTCGTTCTCGATGTCGGTTAAATTATACCTTGACTCTACTCAATAGCCTTTTATCCTCAATTTCTTGACTACTTCGGTTGTACTCTAAACTTTGTAAAGTGTATATAGTCTTTATATAACGATATAGAAAGTTTCGTCATGAACAATGGCTGGGTAACTAAGCTGAAATATTAGCCGATGAAATAATAGTAAACAGAAATATAAAAGGCATCTAGGTAAATTGAAAAGAAATTAAGATAAGCCAGGATGCAGATAATACGACATTGATCCTAGAATCACTCATAGCTGCTCTTGGTCTAATAGGTGATTCTCCGGACCTCAGATTCAATATATGACTGGAAGAAGACGTACGTTAACTATGACAGGAAATATCAGTCTTTAGGAGCGTCAACGCCTCTCAGTTAGTTTACATCATAATCCCATTGTGCAGGCATTAGAAAACCATTGAGGAAGCTAATTGTCTCTTCTATTCCTTTGTTTGGAATGAAAAAGGTGAAAAAATCAAACAAGAAATAATTATCAAAAATTTATTTGAAGGCGGCCTAAGAATAATAGATATCCATTCATGTCGTGAAGCTCTAAAAGCCTCATGGATTAGGAAATGCTTTGATATAAAAAGGAAAATGCAAACTTTTCTTTAACCTAGAACTTGAAAACATTGGTGGCAGTCGGCTGTTCACTGGAAATCTCAACTCCAAAGACTGAGCTAAAATTCTGAAGAATTCAAGCAATTTTTTGAGGAAATTTTCAAATTAAGGGCATGAATCAATTTTGAAAGAAACGTCACCTCCAAAAGTCAATTCCTCAAGCAAAATCTCTGATACGACTCACTAATAAGTAATGATAATCAAGTAGTTTCCAACTACGGCATTACGAAAATAAACACCTAAAAGTTGACGGTCAAAAATTGCTCACCCTACAATGCTTTCAAACCAAACACATTTTGCTTAGGGTTAGCTGCTGGCATACATCAGAATGATCTCCACCATAAAATCAATTTGGTATTCAAGCTGCAGGCACTTTCTTACGTGCCGCAACAAATTTGAAAATTTTTTATGATACAGTTAGCAAGTTCCCCAACGCCGGCTTGCTCACAAAAAATTGATTTGCAGGAGAAAGTGGCTACGCCCAAAAGCTATCAAAATGGATAGGTGATTGCAAAGTTAGTCAAAGTAGCATCAAGTGGATCACAGCCTACCAGCTCCATTATAACTGTACAAAAAGCACAAAGATAGGTGAATTTCCTTTCAAACTTTTATGCGAGAGAATACCAACTAAAATAGGAGCTAACGAAAACAAACAATGCTTTTTTTGCAAGGAAAACCTTGCAAAATCTCATTGATTGACTCTGCAAAAGGCAAGAACATGCCTTGTGCTGCATGACTTTCTTGGAAAGTTTAAATCGATTTGTAAAATGCAATTGCTTAGCCAAACAAGCGAACATTTCCAGAAGAGTTTCAAAGCTGACGTTTTGAGCGTTAGCCCTTCGTCAGAGCACATGGACGAATTGTGGGTTGTGTGTATGTTAAAATGTAGAAGATGGAGCTACAATAATGGTGTGAATATGGTGACGAGAAAATAAGACTCATTATTCTTCACTTGGATGGTTTATTTGGACCCAACATAATGTCCAGCTCCCAGTTGGCTTGTTAGCTCAGTTGGTAGAGCGCCGCACCGGTATCGCTGAGGTCATGGGTTCAAATCCCGTACGAGCCTGAATTTTTCAGGTCTTAATTCAACTACTAGTTTAGTAGTGTTCATAGGTGCGAGGATCTCCTATATTCGTTTCTTCACCGCAGTGTACATATATGATTTTCATATATCCACAATCATTGAGACTAAATTAGTTGAATGAAAAGCGCTTGTTGAAACAATGGTGATTAAGAGTGTCAATTTGAAAAAAAAAATTTTTAATCAAGAGTTTTGTGGCTTTCCGAACTGCCTAGACGCAGGAAAAGGCCGCAAACTGTCATATGCTGTTTATTTCCCTACGCTATCAATGAAAGGAAAAGTTTTGCATCGTTAACGAGCACATTTGAAAGTTCCAGGTTGGTCATCGGTTTGAAATGAACTTCTGACCAAAAAGTTGCCTATGTTTTCGCCTTTGTTTTTGAAATTAGTTGAGGTTTCGAAAATATAATACCAGTCTCTTAATCGTTTTCAAGTAATTAAAACTTTTAAGAATGATAGATTTGATTGTGTGGTTGCGAGTGTGAAATGTGAGTGTGAATGGAATGCGATCGGCACAAGAATGTGTACTACCTCTAGCTACTCCAGGACATTGCATCAAAATTTGTATTGGGACGATGGAAATAAGATCAAATATTGGAAAGTACACAATTTCTAGGGTGACTTAATTTGAAATATAACATTTTCTTGAACAACTTAATGGTACATGCATGCATCAATAGTTTGGCACCAAGCTACTTCGCAAAAAAAAATTCACCAATCATTTTAGTATTAGCAATAGACTATGCAGACTGTCTACTAGTCTTTCGCGCCAAAAACTCTTATAGCGCGATGATATTAAAAATATTGCTAGGACTGTGGCTACCTTCAGACGGTTGGTTATCTTACGGCCTGATCTCAGTTGCATTTACTTTACAATCTCGATTTTTCATATATTTAAAAGTCTTTTTTGATTTTAACATTTTTGTGATACTGGTGATTTATTACCTTATTGCTCTATCGCTTTCAAGGCCAGTTTCTCTGTGTATATTTTCATTCCATTTTTTAATTTCATTCGTACTACTTAACTTATTAGTGTACTGATATATTAGAGTCTCTATAACGGAATACCATTTCAAACGAAGTAATAAATTTAACAAATCGACAGTGGTTTAGCGTATTCTGTGCTGTTATTCATACCGATATTCGTCAGCACAGTGGTCAAAATTTGTTACAGACTTACCATCTATCTATAAAAGATCATCGCACCTCCTGGGGCATAGGCCGCCAGGGATCTCTGTTCTAGGCCATCCTTTTTAATTGGCTCTACTAGTGGCTGGTCTTCCTGATGTCAACCTCGAGGTCCAAGTTATCCAATCAGATTGCGACGTTACTGCCAATAGCGGTAAAAGTATCTTTATACCTCTTAATGCCTTTATAAAGCCCAACTTTCAGCTTGTAGCATTATTTGTTAAAATGTTTTGCTCTGTGCATGATACCAAGAAAAAAAAATGTGGGGTGTAGGGATTCACAGGTCCGATTTTTCGAGAGTAGATGGCTATTATCAGCATTAAGTGATTGCAGTTTATTTCCAAGTAGCTTGTTTGATTTTGCCTTCTTTAGTACCTCGAGAGGCAACTGTCTGTCCTGTTCTAGATCGCGAGTCTCTCTCCAACGAATCTTGACAGGCTAATTCTTCGTCATACCTGGGTAACCAACAAGTGTTTGAGTTAACAAATTTAAATTGCACTACTATGTGCAAGGAAAAGGCATTAACTCAAACGTGTTTACCTTTCTACTTACTCTCCAAATAATAAGAATAACAAACGGACTTTCAAATTAACGCACTTATCAACTTGAAAGTTATCAAGATATATTAAACACATTACTTCTCGTCCCGCGGAGGAAAACATTTTCAATGCGAATGGATAGCGAAACACTATATATAAATGGCATGGAAGCGCCTGAAAGCTCAAAACACAACAGCGCAGAAATGTCACCCCATCCTCAATCACGTTCTGTTCACGTTTAACGGCAGTCATCGGAAAACTTTCGCAGGAAACATTACCCTGTTACCCTCCGACGTCAAAGATTTTGCAATTTTTGCCTGCTAAAAAAACCCTCAACGGCAAACAGTTTCATTGTTGGGTGACAATTGACCCCAACTATTACCAGAAAAAGGGCACGATATCAGAAAGAAGAAAAAGTTTTCTCACTTGGGAAAACCACTAAAGCTAACACTTTACTTACAGTACTTCAAAATTTCCCAGAGCATCTTTGGACGGTATCTTATTCCATCTAACACTAGTAAAGAAAGAAGCGATTAGCACGAGGAATTACAAAGACGTTTACTGAGGCAAATATCGAAAAGCCGACTAAAAACTCAGCCAATTGATTTCGCAGGCATGACTAGCAAAAAAGTGTTTGACAAAAAACTCTGTGGTAATGGCAAAATTTAGAAAATCTAGCTCTTACTATGAATACTTTTATAAAAACAATGATGAGTGACAGGGAACTTTTCATAAGTAGTGGTACACAGGTGGAAGAACACCAGAAGTGTGTCATAGGTCATAAATAGCAGGTCAAAGGTACACAATCACAAGTATTGGGTCAAAAGTAACAGGAAACAAGAAGTGGGTCGCAAGTAACTGGTCACAGCTGATGGGAAAAAATAAATGATGTCCCCTCTTATGGATGAAAAGAAACAATGTCTTAAGCAATTCGAGCAGTTGTTTCCGTTGAGTTGCAACATTTGCTGAGAAATTATCCTCCTTATGCCACTTTCATTCAAAAGGGGAGAATCCTTTGAATGTATTAATCATAACCGTTACAATCTCCTCAAATGTAATTGGTGCAGTAGCTGCTTTATTTTTCATAACTCATTCTGTAGAGTTGTGATTGGACAGTTGAAGCAGCCAATCATACTTAGTCCTTTCAGTCAAATCCACCAAACACAGAGTTGATCACAATAGCCATAGCAACAACAACAACCCCTAAAAAAGTTGTGGAATTTCCAAAGTGGAGGAATTTTTTACTTAGACATTGTCTCTACTACATATATTTGTCTTAATGTATTTGTTGTTTGCGGAAATTGTAACAGTAATGATAAATTGGTATCAGGACTTTGTGTCGTCCAATTCTGTTTGTAATCATACTCGTGATTGACAGGTTGGACTCCCCTTTGCATTCATCTGATTTTGTTAATCACTCCTATGATTACAGACCAGATTGGACTCCACTTGGTCCTATTATTATTATTAATTGTTTAAATTAAGGCTATCCCCCCTGGAAAGCAGTGACGTTCATCTTCTGTCTTATTATGTGTACCTAGTAGGTGTGTGAGAGTTAGTCTTTACCCTTATTTCTTGTTCAGGACAGAAAGCGTAGAATCTTACAATAATGTCTTTATGTCTCAAGAAAAAAAAAGCTTTGCAATTTCTTGAACCTACAGGAAATGACAGGAGCTAAAATTGTCTGCATATTTAATTGTAAAGACAGTGCAAGACCTGATCAGCTTTCAGTGCCATGTACTCTGCTTCTTGACAATAGCTCTGTCAATTTGTCACATTTAAGGGAAAGACCAGAGGAACTCAAAAGCATGACAAGAGATTAACAAAAATCTTGGGATTCAAGCCAACCAGAAACCCTTGTCACTCCCAGCAAGACATCTATTTTTCAACAGACCATTTATAAGTTTGCTCCTTTGCTTTCTCTTATTGAACAATTTATGTAAAGAAAAAAATGACCAACTTTGATCAAAACACGGTTAAACCGCATCAATTCGTGTCTACTTTGATAGCATTGCAGAATGAAATAATTTTGTAAGTTATCTCATGGCAGTTTCCTTCACAACTGTTCTCTAGTATATCACACAATGTATGACAACCCAAAGATCAACCGTGAAAGAGACCATTTCACAGATTAACAATACTTTTGGCATTTCACTTGGAAAAATATCAATGGCTCATGATGAATGCAAGTAAAAATGGGTTCTGATTTATGTAATGTTCAAAAGAAGGCAACTGAATAAATCAAAATCATGTTTGTTACAGGATTTATTCAAAAAAGTGGCATGCGGTCCTTTTACTGTTTACTGGCGTCATTCGTCACAGGAGAGGACTGACCAAGGTAGCTTTTTATTTCATTTAATTCAACATTAGATAACCCTTTGTCCTGCAAAAATTAGCACAAGTAATGGCCATATACATAATGGGTAACAAGTATTTGGTCATGTTTAACAGGTCACAAGTAATGGTAAGATGCAACAAGTGGTGGGTCACACATTACAGTTCACAAGTATAGGGTTATAGAAACAGGTACCAAGTAGAAGGTCACAGGTAATGAATAACGTAGTATGTTACAAATAGTGGGTCATGAGTAACAGGTAGATAGCAAGTAACAAAAAGTTGGTTACGGGTAACAGGTCACAAGTAATGGATCATATGTGACAGGTTGTGAGTAACGGTCATGGGTAACAATTCACAACTTATGGGTCAAAGATAACTGGTAACAAGAAGTGGATTGTGGGTAACAGGTCACTAGTAATGGCTCACAGATAACAGGTTATGAGTAGTGGATCATGGTTAACAAGTAACTAGTAGCGGGTCTTAGATGACAGGTACCAAGTAGAGGATCATAGGTAACAGGTCATTGGTAGTAAATCATAGATGACAGATAACGAGTAATGGGTCATAGGTAACATGTCACTAATTATGGGTGATAGAAAACAGGGAACAAGAAGTGGATCATGGGCAAAAGGTCACTAAAAATGGCTCATAGATATCAGGTAACAAGAAGAGGGTAATGAGTAACAGGTTGTTAAAAATGGGTCATAGACAATAGCTAACAAGTAGAGGATCATGGGTAATGGGCCATTTGTAATGGCTTATACATAAGAAGTAACAAGTAGTAGATCTTGGGTAACTGGTCACTATCATGGGTCAGAAAACAAGTACCAAGTAGGGGGCTATGGGTAACAGGTCACCAGTAATGGTTCATGGAAAACAAGTGACAAGTAGTGGATCAAGGGTAACAGGTTACTAGTTATGGCTCATAGATAACAGGGTGTAACAGGGTCATAGGTAACATGAGGGAACACAAATTAAGTGAGTAAAGAAAGCTAAGGAAAAAGAAAAGCTGAACTTCAATTTCTTCACCTCTGGCTCTCTCCTAACTTTTCTCTTGTTGGCTGAGAGAAGCCTCTTATTTCACAACATTTTGTGAAATGTGCCAAAAATTCCCTTTTGTCGTGCAGTGTATGACATGATGTAAACAGAATGTGCAAATCGGGATGTTGGATGAAAGCCCATAGCTAACATCAACGTTTGTGACACCTTTCACTCTACAGTACAAGTTCCCCAAGCATATGTGACCGTGAAAGGCAAAATGGACACTAATGTTTCTCTGTTTGAATGGGTAAACCATCTGTATCTGTTTGTTATTCGTTTAAATGCCTCAAAAAAATCCGTTCAAAGCATTTGACAAACCATTCAAACCATTTGCATATCCGTTCAAAATACATTAGCATCCGTTCAAAGTGAAGTGACATTTGTTCAATTGGTTTTGACATCCATTCAATTATTCTTTCAGTCGCATTCAACATTTAGATTTAACAATTTTTTTACTGCAAATTAACTTTTACTTCTTTCTCAAAGCAAAAAAATGAAATTTTGAACATTTTGACCAGATTTTTTTGACAGTAATCTTAAATAAAAAATGCAACTATGCCCAGGGGAACATCTACTGTTTTACTCACTCTGGAATTTCCCCATTAGGTAGCACAATACTAAGAGTGTCATGTATGAGATTGTACTTCATAATTCTGTCAGCAGATGTAGTGGATGTCAGTGAAGGAGAGGCATTCACCTGCAAATAAAAAAAAAGCTACTGGACACCTGACAACTACTAGATATATAAATTCTGCACAATAAATAATGGTAATAGGGTCCTGGGAAGTCCATTGAATGATAAATAAAATTGGAGGACTGTGAAGTGGGAGTTTAAATTGTCAATCATGAATATGATTGCAGATATAATTTGACCACACAGAGTGCTGTTACCCAATAATCAAAACTGTGACCAATTTGAGAAACAACCTAGCCATCTGCACACATTTTTATCAAAAAAAAAACAACAGTTAATTTGCAAAATGCACAAAAACAGCTCATGCACTAGACTAACCTCTATAAGCCAAGGCTTCAGATTATCATCAATGATGATGTCATAGCTGAAATCAAGGACATTCTCTTAAGAACTGAGCATTTAATCTGATGATTTCAGATTTTATGGGGATAAAAATGCATTTAATAAGAAACATACAGGCATGCTTTTGCTACAGTTGATTAAATTGGAAATGACTTAGATGAATTCTGATATTTGTTTATACTTACCCATAACATTCAAAGCAGTGCCGGTCATTGGCTATAACATTCTGAAAATTAATATAGCATATTTGTTGAGGAACCTTAAGCATTTGCAAATGGCTAAGAGCTATGGAAATTGAATCAAAATTTCTTCTAGATGCAAATGAAAGTGCACCTGAATTTTGTGACTATAGTGTTTAATACCAATTACTGATACCAAAGGATAAATTATTTTAACTCACACAATAACAAAGTTGCACCCCTTGAGGTGATATTTTATTAATATTTTGACAATTCTTCTTTCAAGAACAAAGCATTACTCAGCCAACAAGTAAGGAGAATAGACAAACTTGTCAGTTAAAAGGCATGATAAATTTTTGATATTATAACAAAATTTCTTCTGTAATTTAAAAAGAAACCTATACTAGATAGAAGGGGGAATTACTGATCAGTTATTGCTAATAAAAAGGATAAGTGACTCAGAGACTTTTAACATAATCAATATGAGACCTTATTGAAATGAACTATTTAGTACCTATCAATAATGAAAAATTATGTCTGAATCACTGATTTCCTTCATATCTCTACCACATGGATGTGAAGGGGCTCTATTTATTGGTACAGCTGGATCAACTGACATTACCTGAACAGCCTTCAGAGAGTGAACTATGCACCAGTTTATGTCATCAAATAGTTTATCTGTAACCTACAATGCATCAGATGATACAGCTGTGAACAAAAATCTCAATACCATGTTGCACTGTCAAGACATTGACAAGTGCAAGCCTAGTCCCATTTAAGCTGGTTGATGGTGTATTCTTTTCTTTCTCTCTCAAATTCAAGACCAGGAACATCTTTGCCATCACTAAGTACCACTGACCATGAAGGCAAACTGCTCACTATTAAACACATTTCCCCCCACAGCTCTTAAAGAATTGGACTGTTTCATCTAAGTTACAAGAGTTTAGCACTTTCCTGATGTCATTAATGCATGGCCCTACTCATCCAAAGAGGAGATACCTTGTCCAAAAAACTTCTTAAAAGTTAAGCAGCATGTCATGCCTTCTCAGAGAACCATGTCAACACTAAAGTCACTTTTAACAACCAGCCAGTAGTATTGTTGAACTGCTTACATTTACAGCAAGCAAAATGGTGCTTTGCAGAAAGGTGATAATTTTCTGTCATGTGTTTTCCACTTAGCTTCTGTGAGCATGTATTGGGTAATCAGGTATTAGTAAAACCTGAGGAAAAACATTTGCTTTGCCAAGCTTTGAAAGTTGGGCACACCACAAATCCTAGTCACTCTTGGCAAGATGTTTTCTCTTTCTCATCAGAAAATTTACAGTGCCTTTTGAGTTCTGCTTTGCTTTGATTATTCTACTACCCCCAGATAGCAAAAATGTCCTTAAATAATTTGTGATTTCTCAATTACAGTTTTGAATAGAAAATTAGTCAAGAGTAAGTTACTTATCAGTTGGCCAAATTAAACAAAGTATCAGAAAGTATAAGAATTATCTCTCAGGGCTTATTTTTTATTGTTAATTAGTTCACTGTGTTAATAGTCTAAAAAATTCAGAAAGGAACACTTTTACAAAATCTGAGCCAAATTACTCACCTCCTTCCCTCTTGTTCCTTCAAGATAAAATTGTAAATTTTTTACTGTCCATTTACCTCCATGAATTGGATTATACTCTTCCTTTGAAAAAGAAACATTGTAGCTATAAGATAGCATTCCAAACAATCATTTCATTTTGATCTCAAATCTCTCTTACCCCATATTTTTGAATTGCAACATTTGTAAGATGGACAAACATGTTGTCAAGTTCACTAAGACTTGCATTGTATTGGACAGTGCAAAATCGACAGAATCCAAGTTTGTACCTGCAGAAGAAAGCAAGGAGAGACACTACAATTTAAAATCTTTTTTTTAAAACAACATGTCTTTCTCTGCTGTAAAAGCTTTTAACAAGGTAAGTTAAGAAGCTGTTAGAGCAAGGTGAGATAATAAAATAGAACACGTTTTGATAATGTACAAGTTGCTTGAGGTAACAATGAGATTCATCTTAGAAAGACTCAACCTTTTGACCAAGGAACAGACATTTTGGTGTTAATCAAGTAGTTTTGCCAATTAAGTAGTTTTTTTAGGCGGATTCCCTCACATACCTCTTTTACATAGAACGCAATGAAATTCTAGTCATAAAAATTTCAAGATATCTCCTTACACACTACACTGCTCATTATGGTTGTTGAAGTTAGTTAAGTGCGCTATCAAATAATGTATTTAACAGTTTAATCCAAAACACCAATCAAATGCCATCTGTCTATGGGAATGGAAAATGAACAAGTATATGTATTAACCCAGATCCCTTGATACTTTGGTAATCTACTTGCAATAAATTTCCCAGACAATTTCTATCTATAACTTTTCAAGAAAGACTTACAAGTAGCACTTTAGTGGCCGATAGGATGTCACCAAGACGTAGATACGTAGGTCAAACTTTTTGCCACCAATAAGCAATGGATTATCAATATATCTGGATATTACATAGGCATCCTTTCCACTTGGGTGAACAAGTCTGTAAGAGGAGCATAAAACAGAACAAACCAAATTTTGTGGGAGAAATTAGATGTTACACCTAAAATTCACAAAGCCAGTAAGCAATATTGTCTATTGTGTATCAACATACAGTGTTCCTCTACTGTCTTTAGACCACTTCTTCAACTGTGACAGCCTGTTGATTAGAAAAATCCCTTTGCCTTGAGCTGGAAAAATAACAGAACACCAATACATTAAAAATATTTAAGTGTGCAGCAGCTTACTCAAGCACAGTGTTTGACTAATAAGCCAGTCTACAGGCTTCCACCAGTTACTAAAATCAAAAAATCAGATTGCTCTTTGAAAAGTTCTTCAAGAACTGATATTTTTCCAATTACATATCGTGCCCTACTCCAAATGATCCTGGGTAATTCTGCAGAGGACTTACAGCCACCAAAGCACACCTGCAGATTGAACACCTCCAAACTTACACCAGAGAACTAATTTGTCACACCTTTCACAGATGTGAGACATTACAGTTTTCCTGCTCACACTTTTTTTTTATAAGAATAGAATTAACTTGCATCACTACCAGCTGACAAAAAGAAAAAAACAGGAAAATAATCACAATTTTGCAAAAACCTTTCACTATAGGGAAAGTTTAATGTATTTCATATTTTAATATCTAGTTCTTCCAGGTTTCCTGGAAGCCTTGGCTTTAGAATTTCTAAGAAACTTTAGAGAAAGCTGCCACTTGCATTTATTAGTTGGCTTCATGATCCAAGTACTGGATGGATTTTTTCTAAATTCCTCTACAAAAAGATTATAATCTGCTGGCAAGATGAATGTAACTGGAATAAAATCTGAAAGGAGAGAAAGGTAAACAGCTTTACTTTAAAAAGGTTGAAGCTAAAGCCAGATTCCCCCCAATATCTTTCCCCATATAGCCTAGCTATCATCTCACTCTGTTCCCTAACACTTATTGGTACCTATAACCTCTGAATACTGTCCCATTCCCTGAGCCCAATACCATACCCTTATCACGAATCATGCTCTAAACTTGGGCAAATGAGATCTACCATAATTTCTGTCCATTAACCTGTGCAGCAGATCACCCTTATCGGTCAATTTTTGCAATAATGAGAAAAAAAATCAACAGATTACCCACACCCAAAAACAAAAGAAAATCATCGACTCACACAAAGTTCCTTCATAGTTTTTGTTGACATGATGTCCTTCAGCATGCAATTAATAAATTTTCACACTTTTGGTCTTTGCTGATTCATTGAGAATGATACCACTGGTAAAAATCTGTTCTCAAAAAAAAAAATCAATATCTCGAATTCTACTGAGTCAAAGAAATCGCTTGAAATGGGAAAATACTCTTTAACTCAAGGAAGTGCTAGCTAAGAATATTTCACTGATGTGTCAAATATTCTGTTGCGCCATTAATTATGTGGTGCCTAGAAATGAACATGTCAGCATCATTTTCCATGTGAATTGTTCTAGAGTGAACCACAATGCTTATCCCATATCTTGATCATCCCTCTTTTGGTTAATACTTTGATATGAAAAGGTATGTTTCCTCTTAAAAGTTGAAATTACAGGTTTTTATCAAGAAGGAGAAGTGATACTTCAGTTGTAAATATTTCAACAGTAATAAACAAATTACAATTTACCAAGATGAAGGTATCTCCCTAGATCATCTTTTTCTGACACAGGATTGCCCTCTTTATCTAAGTCTTTACGGTATCTTTTTATGTTTTTCATCATCATATCTTTTCTAGTCAACTCATAGTGGTTAGGGAAGTGATTGATCACTCTGCGAAAAGAAAAAGTCAGACCAAGTTAAGGGACTTGTAAATCATAAATTCTCTTACTAGTAACTTAAGATTGGTAGAAATTGACATGTAAACAGAAATATAGGATATGATTTTATCATATAGATTTAGCCATGCTGGCAGCCCCCACAGGCAATATAGAGGAATCCTGTGTTCTGATTGGTTACATGACAGGGACCCTTCTTGACTGCTTGGGATTGCCTGATTTGATCCCACACACAAAAAAAGTGCATGGAGTGGACTAATAGGTTTGCAATTTTCGGACATTGTGTGGGATGAACATGCAAAAAGTGGCAAAAGACAGTTAAGGTTACTATCAACAAAATGGGGTGTCTTTGAAAAAAATCATCCCGCGCCAACTTTTATATATCACTGTAAAGCTTATTAACAATGAATTATGAAAATTAAATTTTTTCACAGTTTTAGTTTAGGTAGGCTTCAACTCTGATAGTGTTTGCTTTATTGAATTACCAGCCTCTGCATTACCACAGACCTAAAAACAAACTGGACAGTATCACTCGGTAGATAATAGGCTAACAAAGCATGTGAGGCTTTTTCTGATATTCCTATTGGTTCCTGAGAAAATCTATTTTCAAGTTGGACAATAGAAAATATTTGGGTTGTTGCCACCTCCTGGACATTATGATAGAAATATATCAATTTTGCTCAGGCCTTACACACTTTTGTATGTGAACATCAGGCCAATTTTCATGAAAATCCAACAAATTTACATACACTATTAACTCCTTTAAGTAGAGGTAACTCGTGTAATAGCAAACCTTGCGATTTTAGCCTCCAAGAATTTCACAGTTTTTGCACCTCATTTAAATGCTAGCCAATGCGGTCATAACATCGAACCCACTGGAAAGTCTTGTGACAAAGAACTCCTTTGAAATTTGTGGGAAAGGTCACTTCATGAAATGGGGAACACAAATTTAAGAAAAAAACAAATTCGTGGGGAAAACAATAGGAAAAGTGGGAAAAAGAAATACTTCAATTCGATTTCTTTGGCTCCAGATCTTTGGCAACTTTTCCCTTTTTGGCCGTCTTATGGAGACTCTCATTTCTTTGTGTTTTGCAAAATGTGCAACAAGTTCCCTTTTGTTGTGCAGTGAAAGATGCGATGTAAACAACATACTGTATGTAAATTAAGATTCGCAACATTTTCTGATATTTTACAATTTTTTCCCCAAAAATTACACTTGACTATTTTCTCTAACTAGAGAGCAAAAAGACAAAATATTGAGAATTTTGACCAGAATTTGCTGACAGGAACCTTTAACACAAAGAAAACATAGATGACTCTTGTGGATTTAATGTACTAAAAACATGGTTGGCTTTCTTTCCTGGCACAAACTTTATTGCACAAACTTGTTCAGTCAAGAATGGATGAATGTTAGCCAAGTTATTTTTTTCCATTTTTATCAACCTTGACTTCCACTCTGTCCACAAAAATACTCTAAAAGATCTTGGCCAACATTTAGCCTTCACAACCACATACCTAGTCAACAATGCATAAATATACATATTTTTGTCAAAGTGTCACTTTCGATTAAAGATTTTCATGAACAATGCTTGATATATTCCTTAGCAAATAGAGAATAAAATAAATGCACAACTGGACTTTTATGCAAATTTCTAGAGTTCCAAACAAATAGAGTACATGAATCATCAACAAAATAACTGGGCTCACAAGTGTGATACAAGTTTGCACATGTAGTAATGGTTTATGATTTAAAACACAGTAACCTCTGGCTGGGTCTAGCCTTAACAGTTTTGAACTTATTGAAAATATCAACTGTCATAGTAATGAAATTTTAATTATACATACTGATCATCCCCAAGCCTGTATCCAGTTTCCACATTAAATATTGCTCTTACTGTCTGTACACTGGCCCTGTTGACAGGGAATAATTTTTGCAATAATCAGGTAATCAGAAATGCTTGTCCATAAGGAAGTCTTAAGAAACATTCACAAATATTTAATTAAAACAAAAAAGTCTACTGTATTTTCCCCCATTACCTCCATGCAACATCCAATGATAACTTCCATCACAGAATTTACTCCCTTGATTAATACTAACTAACACTGAAGGAAACCCTATTTCATAGTCTTGGGTCAAAATGGGATGGTTTTTTTAATTTCCCCTCACAATTTTTCCGGGAATTAAGAAAGGTGTTCCTTATTTGTTACAAGCTTAGTAGAGAGAAAACACCCATTCCCACCAGCATGCAAAACTTATACCTTCACTACCACTGAGCCACAGAGAACCCATTAATGAGCTTGGTTATAATGATATACTAGGTTCATGACAAAAAACATCTTACTTTATTCAAAAACCAAGTTCAAAAGTTACTATCTTATTCCCCCAAGCAGAGGCTATGAGGAAATTCCCTTGACTCTTTGAGAACAATCTTTAAGCAAACAAAGTAAGCCTCAGAAAATGAATAACAGACTTAAACTTTTTCAGCTTAGTAAAAATGCCAAACTGTCATTTATCTGCATATGATCTCACTGTATTCTCATTTTGGCCCAGTTTAGCAAGCATTTGCACCTTGATAATGACTCCAAGAACAGAATAAATTTCAGTTTTTCCCTTCCCTATCTAACACCACTGACTTGAAGTGAAATGAAGACTGACCTAAATTTAATGAGGTTGTAAGAGTGTTCTTTAAATTTACTAACCAAATAGATCTGGATATGCTTAGCCCAACTGCTCTTCAAACTGTAACATTAGACTATCTTATTGTTGCAAAATCTAATGCTAACCTAAACAACTCTTCAAATTAAATTTATAGTTTAGTAGTGCTGATCTACTGTACCTTTCCTAGAACATGGTATTGTTTTTTTTTTCAATCAATGAACAAGGTAAACAGGTGTAATGGTCTTTTCCTGTTATACAAGCAGTGTGACCTATTTTTTTATTGCATAGCCCCCTTAAAATAATCCCCTTTTAATTTTGTAATTTCATTAAAAAGAAAAAAAACTCGTACTCGCTTTGAACAAGAAAATTCTCTTTAGTTCAAGCCATGTTACCCTGTTGCACCAGCTATCTTTTGTTTGTTTGTTGCCTACCAAAATATGTTTTCTTGCATGCAAATAATTATGTGGCACCATAAACTTGCTTCTGCATCATGTTTTAGTGCAGCTTTGTGACAGTGTGGTTATCATTTTAACATGATAAAAATATGATTGCTGATTTTTCACTCTACTCTAAGTTTGTTCTCTCACTGTGCATGCATGAACCACAAAAACTTATGATCCATACAATAGCCAAGTATTTTCACGAAACTTTCCAGTTGAGAACTTGACATTACCACTCTCAAATCGGGAGTGCATCTTATAACTGGGTGCATCTTGTTGCTGAATAACTAAAAAAGAATGCATGGAGCCTGTTACTCAAGAATGCAGATTATAACCTGTATGAAAACAATTTGAGGAACATTCTTTTAGTAGGTGTTGTTTTAAATTGCATGATTTTTCCATAGATTATACATCAAATTGTCCATATACTCAACACTTTCCACCTATCAAGTGTTTTAACAAGTTTTACTTTAGAGACCCTTGCTTCCAGCTGCCACAAAATGTACCTTGACCCAATGAAATACAGCTGTTGAGGTGTTGAAGGTCTAAAGGAGACATAAGAGGAAGCCGTTATCACTGCAACTAACAAGACCATTCTCTGTTTGTCAAAACAGATGTGTTTTATAAACCCATTAGCCTCACTCAACCAGAATGGAAGAACTGTAGCTTTCTTCTCACCAACCCTTCACAGTGGTGAGCTTTAACATGTATCCATAGAGAAGAAGCACAAGCAATAAGTGAGGCTGTGAGCCACTGAAGACTCTTCATCCTTAAGACTGATCAGAAATCAGTATCCTACATGTTCAACAAACATCACAAAGAAAAGATAAAGAGTGACAATGTTGAACCAGACCGTAGATGTCCAGAGTCAAATGTGCTACCACAATGTGCCCCACAACATCTGATGACTCACTTCATAGTCCCTCTGCCATCCTGCCATCCAGACCAAACCATTTTGTGCAAACCAAGAACTTACCCTACTCCCTAAAAGAGATAAAGATTACAAGCAAGTGCTCTGTTTGTTGTGAATGCAAACCTCAGTTCTACTGCCCAGAGAATGTCCCCCTTATCAAGGCATTCCAGACATTTAAGAGGATCAACATTTATTTCAAAGCCCCCCCACTGACAAGTAACAGAACAAGTACTTCTTTGTGGTGCCAGGTTGATGAGTATTCTAGGTTTCCATTTGTCTTTCCCTGTCCTGATGTGTTGACAAGCATGGTTATCATGTGCCTCACTTCACTTTTCTCTTTTGTATGAATACCAGCATATGTCCATTCCGATCTAAGGGCATCCTTCATGAGCAGAGAGTTCCAACACTTTTTGACAACAAAATGAGTAGCCACAGGTAAGACCATCAGCTATAACCCTGAAAGGAATGGTGAAGCAGAAAGAGGTAGTAGAGTGCTATGGAAGGCAAAAAATCCAAAAACCAGCCATCTAAGAAACGTCAAGATGTCCTCTTGGATATGCTGCATTCTATCCCTTCCTCTTATGTACAACAACCAATGAAACACCTCACAGGAACTTTTTTGGTTTCTCTCAACAATCTTCCTCTTGTGCCTCCATTCCCACTAAGCTAGTTACATCTGGATGTCTACATTAAACATCAAGTTCACATCAACCAGATGGAGCCTTTGGTCAATGAGGTGGAATTACTCCAGGCAAACCCTCACTATGTCCATGTGTGGTATCCCAATGGCAGAGAGACTACCATGGCCACCAAGTACCTTGCATCTAAGGGCTAATCCAACCTATGCTGGAGAGTAACATTTTTATTTTTTTCTTAAACTTACCAAGTGCTTGCCAAAAGGAACCCAATGATTTAGGGTTTTTATTATGACAAGATCCTCGATAAACTGAACAATTTTTGAGCAAGTAATTAGTTGTCAGAACAGAGGTAATGCAAATTAAAGAGAGAGGCTTCACCTAAACATTTCTATTTGCATAACAATAAACGTGATTTAATTAAAAGGCTTCCTAATAAACTTGCCAGGTGTCACAATGTGACACCTGTCAATTAGAGTCCATTAGAAAAGAAGTGCATTTACACTTTTAGAAAAAAATAGAATTAGGTTGACAAACAAACTCAAGCTCTGTGATGGTAATGACAGTATTTTCTTAAGAAACAGTCATGATCTTACAGAATGAATTATTCACTTCCATCTGTGCTTAAAATATGGAATTTAACTCTGTTCAGTGAGTTGATCGCAAAGAAAGTAATTGTAAGTAAGTTCAAATTTATGTTTTGCAGTTGTTAGAGTCTACTCCTTTGTTTGCTGTGATGGCATGAGTAAACCTGGTCTTTCCTTAACAAAAACTCAGATGAGACCCTTTAATTAGACAAAAGGGGATTTAATGCAGCTTTTTCTCCTTTAATTTCTTTGGTTTCTGTTGCCCAATTTACAGAACCAATGTCCAAATTGAACAAACTTAGAAAAACTTACTGAAGCAGAACTGAAAACTCTGCTCACCATTCCACAATGAATAAATTGTTTGAAAGAATTCAGATATAAAATAAATGAAAGCTCCATCAATTAATTCAACTGTGAACAAATACCTCGTGTTTCATTTTTCTGAATTACTTTTTGTGAAGGACTAAAATTTATTACAAATGATTTTTGATTTTTAGGCTGGGTGTCAACCCATTTCATGAAGCATTTACTACCATACATTTAGGTCAAAGCCAATATTTTTCTGGCAACCAAAGTGATTTGTGAGACAGGAAAAACAGAGGATTAATAAGTCATTTACTGGCTTGGTGTAGTGACTGAAGTATTGCTTAAAAATACTGCCCTAGTTGGCAAGATGAAAGATATTTATGAAAAATGGCAAAAATAGTGCGGATGTATTAGGCGACTTACAAAAGTGTTACTGTGCCTGTGTGCAGAGATAGGAAAATAAGGACCAGTGCAAAAACTGACATTTCAATACTCTTTTAGCTTAAGAAGGCTCCATAGGGTTTAGATCAAGCAATATCTGGACCCGAACATAGAACAAGCTTAAAAGATCAACAAGCAAGACAAACATGGCGGCTTGATATGACTGCATGATTTCTATTTAAAAAGGTGTATTAAAACAGTTTAAAAGCATACAGTTTTTGTGCTTATCGGGTCTTCCTTCCAGGAACTATATTATGGTGTCAGTAAGTCTGCAAGCCTTCCCCCAAACCTCTCTTGGTTTTCAAAATGGTGGACTATCATGAGACACTCATAACATCTCTTTGGCCCCTCATTACTTGTAGAATCTGGTTTAGCTCTGGCCATCATTGAACAAATCTGATAAGGTTTCTTCTTAACATTCTTGGTTTTATTGGGTTTACTTCTGATCAATGTTTCTTCAGGGTCTCACTTCTGCATTTTGTATTGTTATAGAATTAAATGCAAAAGTTATGCCATCACACATTCTCACATGTGCCTTTCACTCTGAACATATCCTGCATATTGTTTTTGGAAAAATGTAAAATTGAAAGGACAAAAAAGGAAAAATAATAGAAAAGAAAGGAAAAACACAGACAAAAAAAATTAGACAAGGCCAGGACTTGAACTGTATATCTTCACACTTGAGAGAAGCAGGTATGTCCACTGCACTAGGTACATGTAGCATATGTAAAGGCAAAGTTTAACATACATTTAATGTACATTTAATACATGTACATATTCCACTAATTCGTGTCCTGTCCCCAGCCTGTCAAGTGACCAGTGCACAGATTATGTTCAATTGGGAAGACCTCCTCTTGTTACATCAACAAGAGCTATTGATCAAACCTCTGCATTTTACCTTTTACTCCAATACTTAACAAATACAAAACAGTTGGCAAATGCAGTCATACAGCAGAGGAAAGATTGCAAAGAGGCCACAGATTCAAAAGTTTATGCATGCTCAGATACCAATCTGTTAGAGGAAAAGTTCACTAGGTTTCATTTCGTCACTCGCGCTCTGAAGGGGGTTTATTCATAAATATTCCAGAGAGCCACCTCAGGTATTCACTGTATCTAGGTGTCACGCAGCTGGACAGGTTTTTGTAATTACTCCATGTTTGGCAGCCAGGCAAGTTTTTTAAAATTACACTGTGTCTGGCAGGAAAACTTTCGACTGACTGGAGTATTTGTGAATTCCATGTCTGGGAGCTTGCAACAAGCCAGTCAAAATAAACACAGAGTTCCAAACTTAAGCACAATACCCAGTTCCATAGAAATTGTGATGTGTCCACCTTGCTAAGAACCTATCTGATATCATGAAATGAAACTTGCAAATGTTTCAACTGCTGGAAATGGAGTAATTGCAAAAACCTGTCCACCTGCTAGACACTGAGTAATTTCAAAAATCTGTCTACCTGCTGGACACTGAGTAATTTCAAAAACCTGTTCAGCTGCCTGACATTTTGACACAGTGTCAATCATAACCATTACAATTTCCTTAAATATGATTGGTGCAGTAATGATGGTAATAGGAGCAAAAGGAGTCCAATTTGCTCTGTAATCATACCAGTGATTAACAAAATTGGATGACTAGGAAGCAGGAGTCCAATTTGTCAATCACAAGCATGATTACAAACAGAATTGGATGACACAAAGTCCTGTTACCAATTAATCATAACCATTACAATTTCTGGAAAAACAAATACATATAGGACAAACATCTTTGGTAGAGACAATGTCTAAATTTAAAAATTCCTCAACTTTGGAAATTCCACAACTTTTTAAGGATAGGTGGTTGTAGCTATGGTTATTGTGACTAATTCTGTGATTGGTGGATTTAACTGAGTGGACCTAGTATGATTGGCTGCTTCAACTGTCTGATTATAGTTGTGCAACTACAGCCAACTGTCCTGTTACATTGTTCAATTACAATTGTAAAGAATGATTAGCAAAAAATGAAGCAGCTCATGCACCAATCACATTTGAGGAAATTGTATTATAACACAGCACGCGACTACTTGCCTCATATAAGTCCTATTGAGCTGCTATGAACAAAATCTCTATTTACCCATGCCCGTGCGTAAATAAGATGACATGAACATTTTTTGTTCATTGTTACTTTGTTATAAAAGAATTTGCTCATGCTTTTAGCCATGTGTATATTGAGTTACGGATGCACTTGGGAAGTTTGGAGAGCACTCAAAAAGCTAGAGTAAAAGCTAAAGCTACTCTTACGCACTTTTTGTGCTCTCCAAGCTTCCCGCGTGCATCCATAACTGGATATATGCACGCTAAGCATGAACAAATTCTTAAATGGTTACGATTAGCTCCTTTATTTCAGTCATACATAGTTCACTCGTCTAAATTCACCAATCACAGAATTAATCACAATGATTAATGGCTAACAGGACTTCATGATGTCCAATTTTGTCTGTTATCATACTTGTGATGGACAAATCGGACTCCTGCTTCGCGGTAGTCTGACTTAGTTAATCACTCATATGATTACAGACCTTATCAATAAAGGGCAAAATTACTGAGCGCTGATTGGTAGAGAGAGAGGGCATTTTTTCTTAATCGAGGGCATTTTTAGTAATCAAGAGAGGGCATGATTACCTTGTTCAGTTAAAAGCACTTTGTTGTTTTTCTGTTGGCAGAAACGCTCTGTTGAAATGAGCTTTGTTTTCTAGACTTTTGGCAGTGTATCACGACACAGTTTTGGAGAATAAAATTTCATTGAATCGATTGGTCAGTTCAATTTGATTGATGATTTGCCGTAGCGCTAAACAGGCTTCCCAGATAAAAATAGACTGCGCGCGTGATTTTCCTTCGTATAAATTTTGCCCTTTATTGATAAACAAGTAATCACATGAGACCTCGTACTATTAAGGATTAATTGCACTTGAGTTTTCTTCGCGACTCGGGCAATTTTGGAAAATTTTGAAAACTCTCGTGCAATTAATCCTGAATAGTACTTGGCCTCATGTGATTACATATACAAATTAGAGTCTACACAGTCCTATTATCAATATTCAAAAGTACCAGTCCATTCGTTCAGATAGTGTAAACAAAATGTCGCAGAATGCGAATTCCAAGCTCTAAAGATTTACACAATTGACACGCCTTAACTGATAAGAAACTCAAATTTCACCAAAATTTAAATGCTTCTCACCAATAAAAATTCCAGTCCTCGTCTTCGGCACAAGGTACCCATCCCCTTTTCTCGAAATTGTTCACTAAAACCGACTTGTCTTGGTCACACACGTACTTTACTCGTCCTCCAGACATAACTCACTGCTCGTGAATGTTCTCTAACTTAACAGCGGAAATTTTAAATTTCAAATTCACTTAGACCCTCAATCATAATGCACTACGTTTCTCGTAACGGGAGTTATTACATCACGGGCGACGAGCGGGGGATGAAGAAATGACCGAAATACGAGTGGTCAGCGGGGAAACAAATTTAATATTTCATATAGAGACATCTCAGTTGTAGTTTTAGAAAACAATAGTGTTGTAAAGCCGAAATGTTAACAGTATACTTCGCTAAATAAAATGTGAAGCAATTTTTCAAAAGTGTTGATGGTACATATATCTTTTACTGCTGTATTAAACAATGGAGGCATCGGTGGCATTCGGAAAGGCACCAAGAAGAATTATGTTTACGTTTTGTAACTTGCAAAAAACAATCGTATTATAAAGCCAAAATGTTACCAGGTTATACTTCGCTAATTCAAAAGTTAAGCAATTTTCCAAACACTTTGACTGGAACAATATTTTTACTGCTATATTATCCAACGGAGGCATCGGGAAAGGCATCGGTGACACCGGGAAAGGCATCAAGAAGAATGATATTGACGATATGTAACTTGTTGTATGACGCAAAGAGTATCTTGACTTGTTTAAGGCGTAAATCACAGTCGGTTTTCTTTTCACTTGAATTTTGCAATCTCAACTTTCGATTCCAGAAAAATGAAAAGCTAAGCAACTCTAAAAAGATTTCGTTCTAGATTTCTATATTTTTAGAGTCACTAATAAGTTTGTTTCCACAGCCTTTAGATAAGAAATTTTAAATTTCCATCAGCTGTAGTTCTTTTAGTGTTTATTATATATATTCAATTGCCTCATTTCACGTGAAAAAGGCATGTAGGAAAACACTGAGCTTCGAGAAACAGCCAAGTTAAGGCTAATGTGTTTACCATGCTTAAATATTAATAATCAGGGCCCCTCATTTAGGAGACCTTTTTCCAGAAGATCCAGGCGTAAAAATAATTCTGTTTTCCGTTCGAAGTGTTTTTTTTTTCCTATTTTATTTAACAAATGAACTCGGGATGAAAACTTAATCTTCGAAGCGAACGGTAGGTGAAATGTTGTGTTGGTGTCTCTGTCCCCCCCCACGTCTCTGCGAAAGGTACATCCAGACAACCTGCATGGAAAAACTGACCACAGCTATCGCACCAAATTAAAAAAAAAACTTTAAAACTAAACTGGTGAGCAGCACTCTACGAATGGTAGTCGTAAAATTTCTTTATTCTCCGACGCGTTTCGTTTAACTGTCGTAAACTTCTTCGGGGAGTTTTACAATTTAACACTAAACACCTGTATTTATAAGCCATAGTTAGTGGCTATACGGGAGCCAATGACCATAAAGGCTTGGCCAGACCTACGAATAGGAAAAGGTGAAGTTGCAGAAAATTTGAACATTTTTTGAGGCAAGGTGGGAGAATTCATTTGGGGACCACGGATTTGGTTTTCTTTTTTCGTCACGTAGCAAGTTACAAAACGTAAATATAATTCTTCTTTGTGCCTTTCCGGATGCCACCGATGCCTTTTCCGATGCCTCTATTGTTTATTACAGCAGTAAAAGAAATATGTGCCATCAACACTTTTGAAAAATTGCTTAACATTTTATTTAGCGAAGTATACTGTTGATATTTCGGCTTTACAACACCATTGTTTTCCGCAACTATAACTGATTTGTCTCCATATGAAGTATTAAATTTGTTCCCCGCTGACCACTCGTATTTCGCTCTTTTCTTCATCCCCCAAATTTCTGCCGTCGCCCGTGGTGTAGTAGAACTTTTCGGAAAGCGTACTCCGACATCCGTCAGAAGGAGGTCATCTCGGGTAGATTTCCGATTACGAAATCCGAGCTCGCCCGATGTTGTCTTCGTGATGAAGGCCCTATTTAGCATATTAGACTCGCAAAACAGAGTAGAAACGAACACGTGCTTCGTTTTCGCTCATGACGTCGTATTAGCGTTAAGATATTTGCATTTTTTCCGTTGCTTACCCATATTACAGACTCCAAAAAATTTTTGCGATGCCTCCTTTTCACGGATGGCCGATTACAACTACAACATATTGACACCTCCACGAAACCTGTCAAAAGGAGGATGTTAAAACACCAGAGGTCATCTCGGGTAGATTTCTGATGACGAAATCCGAGCTTGCCCGATGTTGTCATGAAGGCTCTGTTTCGCATTTTAGAGCCGCAAAATAGAGTAGAAAGGAACACTTACTTCGTTTTCGCTCATGACTTTGTATTAGCATTAAGATATTTGCATTTTTTTTCCGTTGCTAACCTATATGACAGATTCCACAAAATACATTTGACGCCTTCTTTTCACGGATGGCCGATCACAACTACAAAGTAATGACATCTTCACGAAATGTGTCAAAAGGAGGATTTTAAAACACCGGAAATCTTCTGGATTTCTGATGAAATAAATTTAACGCAGTTACGTTCAGAGTTTAAGGCCCGGTTCATACGTCGCATTTCTGCCGTGTCGAATTCAATTCAACGAATTAAATTCGGCAGAAATTCGACGTCTGAATCGGCTGCCGCATTTCTGCCGCACGTTCGACTAGTCTTGTCGCATTATCCGACAGAAATGCGACACCGATTCAAACGTCGAATTTCTGCCGTGTCGAATTTAATTCATACATTATGTTAATGTATTGAGCATGCGTAGACTGAGGCTAGCTATAAAAAGATGGCGTCACGAAGGGAAGAGACTTCAGATTCAGAAGAAGAAAGCTCTTTTTCTTTGTCTGACAATGAAAATTTGGCCCCGCCGAATAAAAAGAGACGAGGCAGAAAAGCGCAATGGCGAGATTGTCACGTCGCCGACAGGATCGATAAACTTGTGTTGCATTTTGATGAGACAAAATGAGAACAATCAACAGCAAAAGTTGAATTATTAGTCTATGCTTTTCCTGAAGACGATGCAGCATATACTGTTGCATTGTCAGCCTCCCTTCGCCTTCCTTCAAAAACTTTTTGAAAAATAAAGAGCCTCCGTTTAGTATCTTCGTCCGCCATATTAGATAGTTACGTCTAGTTACGTAACCAATGTAACATTTTTCCGCTGACGGACCTGCACTGCAGTATCAATTCAAAGAATTAAATTCGGTAGAAATTCGACGTATGAATCAGCTGTCGCATTTCTGCCGCACTTAATTGAATTGAATTCGACACGGCAAAAGTGCGACGTATGAACCGGGCCTAAGCGATATATTGTTATTTCTAATATGGTAATTGATTAAAAAATTGTACATTACCTCGATTGGACGGAGATTAAGTTTGAATATAATGTAGCAAGCGATATTACTTTTGTCGACAAGGATAATCCGTGACTTGTCTCACCTATTACATTTTCTCTATCTGTGTTGTGCCATGATTATCATTGAAAATATTCTACGATAATATTTTTTACAATATTTAGATGAGGATTTTCAATTCTAAACGCAAGAGCGTACTTAGGGAAAGATCTACAAGAAACAGTTTCTCATGAATACATTTTAAAAATTCTTTTAGCTGACTTCTACATAGATAAAAATTACTACATAGATATATTTCACTTCGACGATTATCTTAATAAACAATTAACGGGAAGTTCTGAGAATCAGTTTTTAATACTACATGTTAAATTAATGGTTATTTTTCTCTTCCTGCTTAAGGGCTCTTTCGCAGTTTGGACAACGCCAGTTTGCACTTGAATCTTCCAAAATAATTGTTGAAATGCATTTCCTGTGAAAAAACTCCTTGCAGCTAGCAGAAATTTTTTTTGGGATCACTTTCTGAAGGAGCTTAGAAACCAGGCTCAACTCAGTAGCCAAGCCTACTGAATTTGTGCCCAAGCCTTTTCTTGCTTGCGTGACCTTTTTTGTCACACTAGAGAGTAGTAAACACAAGCTCAAATTTTTAAAGCAGTAAAGAGGAAAACTTTTTGAGACTGAAAGGTAAGTAAGTAAGTTTTTTAGTGTTTTACAACCTAAATTTAGTGTTTCCTTTTGTAATTTTACAACGTACAGTAAATTGTCAAATCAATAATTCGAAAAGCTTACAGCTAAAATTTAACTCTTTATTAATAACCTTATACTTTCTTGATCTGATATCTCAATTAGCGATAACACCAGAAATAATTTGCTTTTGTGGTATATACTATATGTTTACCTAACTTGTTGAAGTACGTTGTCATGAAATAATGCGCTTAGCAACAATTAATCTGATTACACAAAACTGAGTCAATGTTTAAATTGTTCCCTGGACTGCCTGGACTGCCTGGACATCTGAGGCAACTGATAATGCATTTTGGGAGTGGTAGGGATGCTTACTTCATAGTGGCTATGGCTGTACCTGTCCTTTAATTTGCCTTGTTGTTTGTAATAGATTTCCCTTGCATTGTCTGTTATTTTTTTTCAGGAAATTTTAGTCTGCAAGAAGAAAATTCTTTTACAGAAGAATCCTTTTCCTGTAACGTTTACAACTGTTGCTTACGTTTGCCATATTTCTGATATTTTTATCATAACAGAATTTTTCACAAAAATTATTTGACATTGAATTCTTATACAAATACTGCAAGGTCAAGCCTGCCCACCAACCCATCAAGGTGGTGTTGAAAACTGCAGTAAGGTCTATTGAATATAGTTAAAGTACTGAATTTCACTCCATGACTTACTACTACAGAATATGGGGCTTTTTATGATTCGGTACCAAACAAAAAAAAATGCTTTCTTGGCTCATTTGCATCAAGCCACCTAATATAATTCACAAAGATTATTTGACATTAGATTCTCATACAAATACTGCAAGGTCATGCCTACCCACCAACCCATTAAGGTGGTGTTGAAAACTGTAGTAAGGTCTATTGAATATAGTTTGAGTACTGAATTTCACTTTATGACTTATAATTACAGAATATGGGGCTTTTTTATGATTAGGTACAAAACAAAACAAAAAAAAAAGCTTTCTTGGCTCATTTGGATCAAGCCACCTAATATAATGCAATCAATGTCTTGTTTTCTGTATCATGAGTCATTGCTCAGTTGGAATTGATATTTAAATCTTAATTATAATCACTTAAATCCAACTGAATGTATTTCTTTCATTA